TTACCACAAACACAACATTTATCCATTATTTTGATTTCAAATCCAAACATTGTCACTGAAAATGTTTTTTCAGCATTGCAATTCTTTTTTTACACAGTACATAATACAATCGTTCACAAACATGTTCAAACACAATAAATATATGCAACACATTATTAAAGGCTTTTAACTTTTGCATTTACTTCTAGATTTATATATTAAGTTGCTCAAAACTACTTTTCTTACGTTATCACAAACTTACCATTGACAGAAATAGTCAGCTCTACTGCCTTTTCTTTTGCATTTAAATCTTTATTACAAGGTAGGAAAACTTTGTTTTCCTACCTCCACAAGTGCCATCTATTTTTGCCTTGTTTATCTAAAAGTGCTCTTTTCCTTTAAACCTACCCAAAAATCCATATGTATTGACTGTGAAACACAGTAGACTTTAATAATATGCATTTATGGTGTAACTACTAAATTTTCGTGTCAAGCCATGTTCATATTTACTGCAATCAATGCGCGGTTACTTTAATTCAGTGCTTGCAGCGCAGCAATAGACTTGGTGTAGAAATGATCTCTGCACTGCTGCAGACGCACCGCTCCTGGAACGCACTGCCGGACCGAAACCGTGTGCAGTGAACGCTTTAATATAAAATATAAAAGTAGCACCACGTATGCACTGCAAACGGAGTAATGTGAACCTGGCATTATGTGTGTGTGCAGCGAGTGAGTGTGCATGTGCGTACGGTCTCCAGGAGTGCGCGCAAGCGCTGAATGGTTAAACACGGGCAAGAATTGCAATTCAAAAGTAATGCAATTTATAAACTTTAGTGACGATGTGACACTCTGCACTGCGCACCGCTCCTGGAACGCACTGCCGGACCGAAACCGTGTGCAGTGAACGCTTTAATATAAAATATAAAAGTAGCACCACGTATGCACTGCAAACGGAGTAATGTGAACCTGGCATTATGTGTGTGTGCAGCGAGTGAGTGTGCATGTGCGTACGGTCTCCAGGAGTGCGCGCAAGCGCTGAATGGTTAAACACGGGCAAGAATTGCAATTCAAAAGTAATGCAATTTATAAACTTTAGTGACGATGTGACACTGCCTCGATTGTGCAAGTGACAATTCCTGTGTCAACTGTGCAGCGTGCAGCT